GGGGGGGGGGGGGGTGGTTTGGAAGAGGGTCTGATCCAGCATTTGAAATGAAATCATTTGCCAGTTGTATTGTTGTAACTACACTATATATCAACTTTTCTTGTGTGTTTTGATGAGAGAAAGGACAATATTCGAAGAGAAATAAGATCAAGAAAAGAAGACAAACAAGACCAAGAAACTAACAAAAACACAAAACCCAAGAAATGCAAGCCAAGAGCCACCAGCAAGAAGAAACAATAGGGGATTATACTGGTGCCCCTATTTGCCAAAACCAAATCAAATATTAAAAAAGAGTCTCAAAGGCAGAAACTACTACTAGACCCGGCAAGTTCAACCACATTTTCTTATGATTTATATAAAGTGATCAAGTTCTGGTGGACTCTTAGCATGTATGATACCCTTAACTTGCAAGGAAATCCTTAATATGTCTGGACCATGGTGGTTAATTTGGGATTATTGTGAAAGGAATGTCACTTTCACACCGGATACATTCGCCTACAATAATCATTGAGATCTCTTGTAGTTTGTCATATCTATAAAAAAAATTTATATTATTTAAAAACGTCGTTACACATCTTTCTAATTTATATGTAAATTTTTACATGCACCTCCTAATGTGAATGATCGTATCTGACATTCCCAAAAACAAGCGAGATCGCATAAAATTTATATATATAAGAATCACAAAGCAACTGATAAAGGACATTTATGGTATTATTTCAAGCCCTTATTGAATTTTGTTTGTTAGCTCCATTAACATATATAGAATGTTGTTTTGGAAATATAAAAAAGTCAACATGTAGCAGCCAACATGTGGGAGTATGTTTCACAAATTCTTACTTCTTTCTTTGGACTCTCTCTCTCTCTCTCTCTCTAGGCACCTGAGCGTGATAACCGTTGAATGTGGAAATGGTATAATCCATCTATATATATATACTACTAACAAAAAAAAATTAATATGAAAATTTTTTGATTCTCTATTTTGTCCTTATAAAGAATTACAAAAATCATTCTATCATTTTACAATTAAATATTTAAATTATCATAATTTTCTAATATATTTAAATTTCAAAATTACCTCTAATATATCTTTAATTATCTATTCTCTATTTATAAATTTTAGTTTCTATGAAACTTTTTAATTGACTACTATGACACCCTTAAAAAAATATGCATAATTATTTTTCAAAGTGTTCAAAAACCTTTCAAAAATTTTATTTATCTAATATTATTCATCCTGTATGTAAAGATAATATTATATATGTATCATCAAAATATATGTATTTTATTTTTCATCAAAAAATTTAACCCTTTCATTTTTAAGATAAAAAAATAATTTTATATATATATATAGTTTTTAAAAATTAATTTATGTTATATAAATATAATTCTTCGGTCACAATAAAACTTTCTAACCTGTATTAAAATTTAATGTAAAAATAGATTATGCTGTATTTTTAAGTAAAATTTAAATTTTTTAAAATTTTAATATGCTTTATATTATCTATAAAATAAATCAACTAGCCATTTGAAAATTTATCCCCAACACATTTTTCTCCTAAATTCATCTCATCCTCTCTCACCTCACCTGTCACTCATTTGTCAGAGAAGTCACTCTTTTTTTTAATTACATCGTGTCTTTAAATGCGAATTACTTCTAATAAAAATATAAGACGTAATAATTTTTTTGCCTTTAAGTAAGAATATCATGAGTATATATAGTAGAGAAAGACAAATGTCAAGGGACACCAGTCCATCCTGGCCTATGAGTGACTCTGCCACTGAGCCTAAGCATTGAGCTAGTTGACCACTCATCCCCACATACATACATAGATGCATCTTATTTTTATTTAAATTCGGTTCAAATTCAAATTTGATTTGTTGGATATAAATAAATATTTTTAATTGATTATTTGAGTGAAATCGATGAATTTTTGTTTGAAATTTTAGCAATGAATCTCGTGCATGTTGATGACAATCAAACCGCCAAGATTCAATCTCAAGTAGGATTGCTGATTCATTATTTGTCCAGAGTCATTGCTAAAAATTGAAATTTTGGTCACAGGTATTTAAAGACTAATTGGTAGACCCCATTGCGTTGGTTGTATGATATTTTATTAATTTAGATTTAAATATACGAGTAAACACTACAATTTTAATGTTTTTTGATTTTATTTATGTTTATAGAAGCGTTTATAACACTTTAATCTCTTAAAGATCTTTTTTTTTTTTAAATTTTTATCTTAAAAGATTAAAATTCTCTGACGGTACCTTCAATCATAGACAAAGGTAAAAACATAATTCAAAATGAAATATCCATTGAATCTGTTTTAAAGATAATTACTGTTTTTCTAATTAATTTTTTTTTTATTATCTACATATTGTCTATGTAGATAATAAACTTATTATATGGGTGCATATAGAACAAAAAAAAAAAAAACAGTCACCTAAAAGAAAAAAAAATAAAACTTAAAAATTATTAAATATTATTAAACGGCTGTTCATTTTTTTTCCCACATTAATCATTGCCGGAAAGAACAAGAAATTTTAAAAGTAAATGTCTATCTAACCCTTCTTCTTCTTCTTCTTCTTCTTCTTTTTTTTTTTTGAGAATTACGATAAAGAGTGTTTGAACTAATTTACGTATATTTTGACTAATTTCGTCTCCGATCTGAACAAAAATAGATTATTTCATCTTGACAAAATTTATTAAAAAAATTTACGAGAGATAAATCCCACGTAACTTAGTCTAACAAAATAAAAATTGTCAAGTGCTGGTCACCTTTAATTCTACTGCACAAAAAGTGTTTTTCAAGTGTTTGATTAAGACCTCACAGCCACGTTAATCATCATTCCCAAAACGTTGAAATGGACTTAGTTCCTCCACTACTTAAGTGCTTAACACGTGTTGCTTAAATAAAAGACTACAAATTAATCGAATTATTCATGGAACAATTAGTATTGATGGGGATTATAACTTGTTGGGTTTGTCCTCAAATGAACTCATAAATTTTGAAGATCGTTTAATAGGAGAGTTGAGCGCTTCCGCAACAACTTTTTTTTGCACCTCGTATATTATAAAATAGTATATTAAATCTGATTATAATTGATAAAACTAACTCCTAATTAGATTAAAATTTTAATGTGATTAGTATATTGACAATTGCTTTTATTTTATTTAAGGAATTATAAATAGAATACTAATGAAATGAATTTCAATAAATTTAATTTCTCATACACAATTAAAATTTTGAGAACAAAAGTAAGTAGAATGTTTTTTGTTCTTTATATATCTGTTTTTCCGAAAATTGGAGAACCAAACACCCAAACTAAACAACTTCTCTTTGTTTTTAGAATTTTGAGAACAAAAACCTCTTTTCTAAAACCAAATCAAACAGATTCTGAATTTTTATAACATTTTAAAGTATTCGCCCGATTTAGAGGACGATGGGGCTATTGATGGATATAATCCAAATACATTCTGGACCTCGGAGAACGTAGAACGGTCACAATTTTATAGAATGATATAATCGCGTTACGTGCATGTACTCAGTCAGGAATGATCTGACGCTTGAACTTAAAAAATATTGGAACTTACAGTAATATTAACTGTGTGAGT